ATTAGAAATACCATAATATGATGAAGAATTATGAGCATAAAATTCAAAGTAGGAAAATCCACAGAAGAGCCTCTTCATCTTTTTCTATGGTCAACTAAATCTAGTTTTAGAACTTAATTTTATTTAATCTTGAAGAGGAAAAACAGAAGCAAGAATAAAAATCAGAAACAAAGCCAGAAACAGGATAACATACAACAATACAAATGTCACAGATTTTCAAACAAGAATAGCTGATTAACAATGGTTGATGTTACCATGTTTTTTTAGTAGAACAGTTTCAATAATTAAAACACTGCATATTCATAGTCCAAGATGCAGACATGATGTCCTATCCAAACACTCTTAGTATAAATCTTTCTTGTCGTTGAATTAAGAGAAAGTAGCTGTATATAAATTGTATTTTATATATAAAGATACAAAATGGTTCTTCATTTGTATCCCCTTTTTCTGTTTATTTTTGTGAGAGATTAGTATTCCATTGCCATTTAAATATTGTAGGTGCATGAATTCAGCAAAATAATCCAATATTGTCCTGTAGTCCATAATAGTAGTGGGTTATCTGTAGGATTGGCAATGTCAGAAGTTGGGTCAACTAAATCTTGAAAAGCAAACTTGAAGGCCTCTGAAGGTACAAAGAAATTTTTATACCTCCATGGGTCAAATCAGATAACAAAGAAAGTAAGCTCTTTGAAACAATGAGTATGGGCTAACTCACCTCCTACTAACTATGTTACAACTCTCAACTGCTAAATTATATTGCAAAGTTAAAGAATTACTGCATCAAGGAGATGGTTCAGTAGAATAAGCACTTGCCTGGCAAGCCCAAGGGCCTGAGTTCAATCTGTGGTTTTGGAAAAAAAAAAAAAAAGAAAGAATTACTATTTCTGTTTCAACCTAATTTGAACAGTAACATTTTAGAAGCATTCACATGTTTATATATATATGTATTATATTTAAAAATTATTCTCTATAGGAAAGAAAAAGTAACCCTGCTAGACACCCACAGAGAGAATAGGTGGGTGAGAGCTTTGTAGACACTGTCACACACAATGTGTTAGGGAACAACTTCCTAAGGTTGTCTTTGCTCTTATACCCGGGATCCAATATCTGTTGGTTTCTCATTCCCTCTCCCCTTACTATTGGAAAAGACAGAAGTTCACTTTACACATCCCTTCCCTCTGCTTCTAGAATGCTCCATCACAGCTGCCTCCTCAGATACAACATGATTCAGTATGAGGCCACACTGACTTAGTGGGGTCTAAGTTGGCATGATTCTTCCATGCCAACATAGGCTCTGCTATCGTTTAGTTCTTAAACATCCCCAAAGCCTGCATGTTGAAGGTTTGACACTAGTGGGAAAGGATGGGAGCTTCAGGGGTGGGCCTAGGAGACAACGTAGGTCATGGGGATGTGCCCTTGAGGGGCTGTTGGACTCCATCTTCTGCTCTTTCTCCTGTTTCCGAGCCTCTGTGAGGTGAGCATCTCCATCTACCAGGTGCCCCCACCGTGATGTTCGGGCTCACCACAGCCCCAAATGCAGCAAGGCCAGGTAACTACAGGCTGAAACCTCCCAACCTGTAAGCCAAAGTGGAACTTTCTCCCTTATGTGCTGGTTACTTTGGTGTTATGGCTTGAGTCAAAAATGCCACCTTAAAAGCTCCTGTGTGCAGACTTGTAGAAGGTGATTAGACCCCAGAGACACAAAACACACTGGTGGACTAATCCATTGGTGAATCCATAGCCGAATCTGCTATTTGGAGACAGGACCTGGTTGGAAGAATAAGGTCTGTGGGGCCAAGACCTACAAGGGCAGCCATGTTTTTGTTCCCAGCATATTTTTTCCTTTCCCTGACTCCTTCCTTCCAGCTCTGCTGCTCTGCTCCCATGAGTGAGCTGCTTTCCTGTCACGCCCTTCCACAGGGTGTTTAGGCCTAAACACAGAAGAGCCAATTGACCATTTGTTGAAACTTCTGAAGCCCTGAGCCAAAATAAACCTGTACTCCTTCAAGTTCTTTACATCAGATACGTTGTCACAGTAATGCTCTAGTATTTATTTTGTTGCCGTGACAAGAAGCTAACAACAGACTTCTGTGAAGACTTTTCCCTTGTATGTATTTCTACTTTTCAATTCACAGATAGCATTACTATCCCTGTCAACGCAAGGACAGGGCCAGAGACTAACAAGACAGAGCCATAAAAGATGCCAGAGCCCAACCTGCTAATACTGTATCACACAGTGGCACCTCAGCTCACGAACTTCATGTCTTCCATGATTCTGGATGTGAACAGAGTTGGATAGAATCAAGTCAAGTGCAGTGGTTAGGTTCAGTGTTGGCCTGATGAGGAGATCAGATTTAGTTCTCATCTGATCTAGTCTGTGGGCAGAATCATGAAAAGAATAAAGTGTGCAAGCTGAGGTACCACTGTGCAAGGCCAGGGTGATCCCCGAAGTTACCTGGGAAGATAGCCTCAAACTGATGTGATGTACCCCCACTTGGTCACAGGGCACAATCCTTCTATGTATTGATAGACTCGGTCTGCTAATATTTTAAGAATTTTTGCATCTAAGTTCATGAAGGATGGGTCTGTGGTTTTCTTTTGGTGCCTTTATCAGAGTCATAGTGGCCTCATAAAATGAGCTGGGCAATGCTCTTTGCTCTGTTTTCTGAAAGAGTTGGTGTAGGATTGGGATTAATTTTTTAATATTTGATAAATTTAGCCAGTAAGCTAGAATTACGAAGGTTGAAAAACCAATTTATTTTTAGTAGCTAAATCTCTCTCAAGGCCTGAGATAATTAAATTTGAGTAATAAAGGCTTAGATAATTCAAAATTATAGTATTTAATATAATGGGAATAAAGAAGGATTTGTGCATATTTAGTACTTTGTGTTCTTGGAACACTTGAAAAAAATTGTCCTATTAGAACTAAGAAAACAGTCTTCTAATGCCAATGGAAACTGAATGTTTGAGTAAATGACTTAGAATATGAAGACAAGGTTCAGTGTATTAAATTTATACTGGGTGAACATTTAAGACGAAGGTAATTAATCACTTTGGAAAACTACTCACCAGTGAGTTTGCTGTTTTGCCAAGCATGCCAATCCCTGGGAATCTGACAGAAATGTAAGGTCTCCTGTAGGGGGTCAGGTTGGGGCCTAAGGTCTTGCATCTGACAAGTGCTTGAAGTACATGCTGTAGCAGAGGGTTGGTTAGCTAGCCCACTAGCACATTTAGAAAAGCGGTCTAGACAGCAAGCTAGAAAGTAGTCTTTTATCGATGGGAGAGGGGCTGGGGGCAAAGAGGAGGCAAACAGGAGAGGGCAGTGAGATTAAAATAAGTAACTGAAATATCTTATCCGTGCCTCTTCACCAAGATAAGCCTCGTTATTCTATGCCACTGATATATAACAAGAAACAAGAAACCTTTCGTTTTTTTTGAAACCTTTCATTTTTATAAATTCAATTTAAAATATTTGAATGTATTTAAATTTGCATATCAATTTTTATTCAAAAACCCTTTCAAAGTGGTATGGCTACAATTTGGTAAACAGAATTTATTTATTTACTTATTTATTTATTTTATTGCTGAGGTTCAAACCTAGGCCCTTACTTCTGCGAGGCAGGAGCTCTAACACTGAGCTACACCTCCAGCCCCTAAGTGAGGCCTTCTGGGGCCCCGAGTGTATGCCCTGAACCAAGGAAGGCCAACTTTTTGGCTTCCCTGGTTTGCTTGGTGCACATTGCGTGAAGAGGAGCTGTCTTGAATCACTATATATAAAATACATAATATAGTT